TTCAGGAGGAGAAGAACATCCTGAGAAACTGCAAAAATGGCATAAAATACAATTATCGATAACGCGTCATTGAAAGTCCACCTGCAAGATATATACGGCAAGTGGCTATAAAGTCCTTGGAATGGTAGTATAACTTTACAATGCTTAATGCCAACCATATCGGTGTAAGCATGGAGACTATGACGTTTTCGATGAAAATACAGCTTCGTTCAAACACTGGTGTTGTCGTGTTTCCAACCAAAGCAACCAGACTTTAATCGAGCAACCAATAGGCACAAAGAATAAGTCTCAGCTTTAATAAATGCCTATCCAGTTAAGATAAAATGGAGTGTAATAGTGCGTAAATAAAACGACTATCGTGAAGTAGATGAGTGATATTTCAGTGACAAGTAAATTGAAAGATCTGCAAACTTAGAATTCGTAAGACAACCTAACATGTAATATCTCTCACGAATTTCTGTAGGGCCTGTGGGGTAGCCTTGATGTTTTGCCGTCATTCTGAACTTTGGAAAGATAATTTACAAATGTAAAAGGTAATAATCATCGAAACTGCAGCAATATTTTCTAGCTGTTCGGAATTTTTTCCTTTGATGGAGTTCCTTATCAACAGTTTGCAGTATTCATAGTCAGTTTATAGGAAACTTTATTCTTTCTTCATCTTCACCAACTGTCCCTTCACGCACAATAGCATGCAGTAACTACATGCACTCAAGCATTGTAACCTCAAAATCACAAAATCTCTACAGATAACTTGTTTAATAACAAATGCTTTAAAGATATGAGCCATAAGTGCACCTTCCATATCCTTCATAGCCACAAGTAATTCATGAATGATCTCAGAATAACTTAGTGATCTGAGAATGAATAATGATTAAGACTGATATAACTTGATCAACAGATGTGGTAGTTGTAGAGCAAAGCTGCTAGCTTCTATTCTACAGAAAGCTGACACTAATTTTTGGCAGTGTGACATTTTAGGAGGACCATCTATACTATTATTCTTACCCCAATGCACACTGATATCAAGATAATTTGATGCCATGTTATTCATTGAGCAATTACGGCCTCCCGAAATTCCATGCGACAATGTAAATTAAACTAGTACCACATCTTCGCCTGAGTAATTTTTACTAAGAACTTCATCGAAATGCGTATAATCACCAGGAAATTCAGCAGATTCAGATTCAGATTGTCTCATTCATCGTATGATCTCTTTGACGTGTTACGGAATATTCCAACCACCACGGATAATAATAATAAAAGTGTTCAACATCCTCAAAACGCACATCTTACTCATGTCTGTGGGCTATTTCTCTTTCAAATGCCCGATTCTCATAGAATAACTGCTATGAAAACAACCACTGTCTGTAGTCAATTTGCAGCCTAAGGATCTATGAAAACTCGCAAATAACAAAGCTTTAAGGCTTCAGAACGCAAATAATAGTCTTTCCATGCGAAATTTCTTATAAATTATGACTTTTTTAGTAATAAACCATCTGGGATATCAAGACAACTTTACCCATTAATACGGACACAATACAGAAAAATATTGCTCTTCTCGGCTACAGAAGCCTAAAACTAGTCAAATATAATCTACTTTTGCAAAACTGAACGATTATAACGCTTCTATAGGCGTGAACGCGATAACCCATACGGAACGCGATAATATATCACGATAACGTTTATCCTCACCTGTTCCTACCAATTTACTTGTTCATGTGGGCGTGATATATAAGTCGTTCTATGAGTGTTTTATCCAAAATAGTCAAAGAACACTATTCCGCTTGGCTAAGAAGATGTAACAGTGGACCAATAAAGAGTGCTCCAAATGAACGTATAGTGAACAGTGGTCACTCAATATGCACGGAGAATTCATTCAAAGTCATCTACAAAGTCAAAAGAAGCCTCTCGTGAACTTTAAGCTTTCGTATACTTTGGATTGCCGAGGCCTAAGCGATCCGGATGGGAAACCCTGATTTATGTACACAGAAGAAACTTCTCCATATCCACCTTGTACCTTGGGTATAATCCAAGTTCTACGACTTTGTTAATAATGTTTTTTTCTTTTTTCGTTTTTGAATTTTTCTGTGGCATCTCAGTAACATCTTCTTCTTAGCCAACCCTTTACTTACTCTTTCTGTATATTACTTAATTTATTTTATTATTATTATTTTTGCAACATAGACGGCACTGAAATAGAAACTAAATCGGAAATTAAATACCTAGGTGTCATTCTATCTGCTGATCTCTCCTGGTCGTCTCATATCTTAGCAATTTCTAAGAAAATATTCCGTCTTACCTTCTACATTAAGAAGTTAAAACATTCTGGTATTACCCAACCCTTACTCCTACAATTCGTTAATTCTCGCATCCTGCCTATTATTCTCTATTGTTCCCCCTTAGTTTTTCCCGGGCTACTGAAGAAAGACTATAACATATTACGCAGGATGTTAAATGTTGTCAGCAGGGTAAGCAACGTGCCACTTAACCAGCTTGTTAATATTCTGGTTGACAGGCACATGGACTCATGTGAAAAATGGGCCAAGTCCATTTTATCTAACTCACACCATCCTCTTCACTCACAACTCTCCCACCCCTTGCATCTCACCAGGTAAAACCAGAAGCCAATATAGAAAACTATATGCTCGCACCAGCAAGTACAAAAACTCGACCATACCCTACTTAGCTCGTGTTCTGTGCGATAAAGAAAGCATTAGGCGTGACACCTATAATTCATTAAATAGTCAGTAGTACAACTGGATCTCGTCTTTCCAACTCACTTCATCAATAGGTACAACATCTTCTTTCTTTCTTTTCCTTTTCTCTCTCTTCTTTTTCCCTTATGTGCTGCTTTGTTTCTTTCTCTCGCTTACGCCAGTTAATATGGCAGCTCCCACTTTTCTAACACCTTCAAACACTGTTTCAGCTTTACCTTTGCTACTGACATGCCAATGTATTGTTGTAATAATGAACTGTGGTTTCCTCAATCTATGTAGAATTCTATTTATTGATAATGTACTAACTGGATGCAGTACTGTAGTAAAAATGCTGAGAATTCCATTCTGTATCACATGTACTGTTTTGGAATAAAGCAAATTATTATTATTAAGTGTCTCCATTAACATTCTGTTTCATATGACACAACCCTGGTCAATACTTCCCAATCTTCACCAACCCCCTCTAGTTGCAATTTTGATTATTCATCACATGACGTAAACGGTAACCTTAACTAATCTTATTTAATTTTTGTTTGAAAATCCGAACGTACACAAACAAAATAATTATATATAAATGCGATTGTACACCTAAGTGAATGAATTCGCCGAAAAGAGACTCTTGGCTGAACTTTGTTGTTCTTATATTCATACTTTATTTATGCCTGATTTGAACTTTGAACCTTATTCAATAATATTCGCATTCCGGTTACATTGAAACATTATGTTTCCTCATATATGGAAATTTGGTTCCTGTCGCATAACCTAGAGGACATGCTTATTGCGCAGGCTGAGTACTAATGGTGGCCAATTCTTGGCTTTGTGCAAGAAGACACACCAGTGAATGATATTCAGGAATTTAAAACGCGCTCTAAGTGGTAATGATAACTTCCACAGTCAACTCTTTTCTGTATATCATCCAGAAATATCTGGTTTCGGGGAGTTCTCTTTAGATGTGACTACAGGCTTTCCATTGGGTTGGATGATCCTTGTACTTTTAAGTCTAATCAGTAGGCTGATCTCATTTCGCCAGGAGCAAATAAAAACTGAAAGAGGTACGTATGTCTAACATTTATACACACAGTTGAGGCAAGGTTTCTAGAACACTCTACCTTGGCATCCTTTGATTTACAAGAGAATTTCAGAACACAAAACTTTAAGTATCGTCAGGCGGGTTAGATGCTTTTTTGTAGTTAATATCAGTATGATTTAGTTTCATCCATTTACTGTATGCATAAGTTTATTTTTCTGCCAGTGAAGCCGCATCACTGCCTCATACGTTAGCCTGAAGCTTAGGAATTGTTTGTATAAGTGTATTGTGGTTATAATCCATTGATATTCATTTTGTATAACAATCTCTGAAGGCGATATTATACCAAGAAGTGCATCACGCAATCCAAAGGCTGATTACTTTTTTTAATTCCACACATCCTGAGGATTCTGCGAGGAAATCTGACACCATATTCATGCACACTGAAAAGACCAAATCTCTTATACATAATATATGAATCCTTTGTCTAAATCCTAGTGCATATAGGAACTGACGAGGTGATCGTTGACGAAATTATGCCTGCTAATGACTGGAACCTAGCATTTCGAACGAAGTTTGAAAGCTGAAATAGTTTAGGGCGTTTAACCAACTCACAGACTTGAGGAAAGGACGATGTTGTTAACATGAACCGCCTAAGATAGCATAGGATTATCCCACGGTGACTCGTCTTCTCTTAGTATTGTAGCTTCACGGGTTAGCTATGACTACAACTGTAGTATCAATCAAGTAGTCAAAGTTTTTGACATAATTATTACATACAGAATCTAAGGACAATGTTAAAAGACACAAACTGGGACCTGTTTACTGAACAAGCTCTTGACAACACAATTAGTAACATAACACATTATCTCAATTTCTGTCTTGATGTTTGTTGTCCTAAAGAGACAATCTTCTCAAAGTTCGACCGTTTCGCCTCATCTCAACTCAAAAAGCTTCGCCGTCAAAAAGAAAGGTTATACAAAATGAAAAATAAATCTGGTGTTAAGAGAATAAACACTTTGATTAAAGCCGAATTACAAAGATTAAATGCTCTCTATAACCAGAAGTTTCTTTCATGTAAATCCTCATCTAATATGTGGAAGCTATTAAAGGAAATCACAGGTGGTAAGCAAATAATGAATGATACTTCTGTCGATGTTGATATGCTTAATAAATCCTTCATATGTATCCCTGCAGATGTTATGATTCCCAAATCTAATAGTATAAATAATGACTGCTTTTCATGTTTTAACACGAATGATGTCCTCAAGTGTCTTCAATCTCTCAAACCTACCCAGTCCCTTGGTCCTGATGGAGTTCCTGCTGTTATCCTTAAGAAGTGTGCTGACATCTTATGTTACCCATTAACTGACATTTTCAATGAATCTTTTTCCAAAAGTTTTATTCCTGACTCATGGAAAAATATCAAGGTTGTTCCAGTGCCCAAATCAACAAGTGGACCTACTGTCAAGTTTAGACCCATTGCTATTACCTCACCTTTTTTAAAAGTTATGGAAAGACTTATTTTACTTAATCTTGAACCGTCTTTAAAGCCTTTTAACGACCCCAACCAGTTTGCCTATAAACATAGTAGGTGTACCCTAGATGCCGCTGTAGTCCTATATCATAATATAGTCTCTAGTTTAGATAGAGGAGCCAAATATGTTCGGTGTGCCTTCCTTGATTACACTTCTGCATTTGACTCTGTACCTAGGTCTCTCTTGTTAAGTAAGCTTGCTGCAACACAGAGTGAGAGCTGGATAAATAAGTGGTTGTATTCCTACTTTTCTGAAAGGAAGCAGTACACTGTCTACAATGGAAAGTCCTCCACTACCTCACTTACTTTAGCTGGTGTTCCTCAAGGTGCCGTTCTTTCTCCTTTTCTGTTTTCTTTTTTCTTACATGACTTGCCCCATTCTGATGTAGCCACTTTTGTCAAGTATGCTGATGACCTTTCTGTCTCCATGCCTGTTAACTCTCAGTCAGACTGTTCCATATTAAATAACTTTCTCTCGGAAATTAGTCAGTGGTCCTCTTCAAACGGTCTTAAGCTGAATCCGTCTAAATGTCAGGTAGTAAATTTTACTTTCAGACGAAAAAGTGACCTTCAACAACTAGCTAGCTCACATGGTCCCACTATCATTGACGGCATAGAGGTTGAAACTACATCTAATGTCAAGTACCTTGGACTGAGTATTTCCTCCGATCTTTCCTGGTCCTCTCACATCTTGCTAGTGACTAGAAAGATGTTTCGCTTAACGTTCTACCTAAGGAAGTTTAGGCAGTCTGGTATAAAGCAGTCTTTACTTTCTCAGTTTGTCAATTCCTGTATTCTACCCATCCCTCTTTACTGCTCCCCATTAATCTTTCCTGGACTACTTAAGAAAGACTTTGCTTCGCTGCATAGGGCACTAAAAGCTGTTAGTAGGGCAAGTGGGATTTCGTTAAACCAACTGGTTAACACAATTGTGGATAGACATATAATGTCATGTAAGAAACTAGCAAATTCTATATTGTCAGACCCCGAACACCCTCTCCATACTCAGCTCTCTCCTTGCATTTCATCAGGTAGAACTAGAAGCAACTATAGGAAGCTATATGCCAGGACTACCAAGTATAAAAACTCCACAATACCTTATCTGGCACAGCTGTTATGTGATGAGAAAACTGTTAGGCATGACATGATCAATTTACTGCGGCACTCTAACAAATAGTTCCCATTAGCTTTTGTTCTCCTTTCTTTGTTACTATTATATTGTTGCTCATATATTCTATTACAGACTAATTTTATATATCATATCCTGTGGTGCATTGTTTAAATATGTGAATGCAATGCTGTTCTTTTTTTTCTTTTATTTCTCTTTTTCTTTTGTTGTTGTTGCTTTATATTTCTAAATCCTTATAAAATTTATGAGGTAATTAGATGCAATATTGTAATGAACGCTGAAAATTCCATACCTGTACCACAAATACTGTTTGGAATATAGCCATTATTATTATTATTATTAAAAGTACAGGGTGCGATTTTTAACTTTGTGGAATAGACAGTAACTTTAAAATTCAAATCAACCACCATATTTTAAAGGCTAAGGTTAGCAGAGGTTGTATTGTGTAGTATACTGGAGACGTCGTGTGTAGTCGTACAGATAATGACCATGCGATTCCAGATGTTGTTGATGAGGAATGAAAACCTTAGGTTTATTTAGTTATGATAAGACACACTAGTATTTCGTAGCCGAATTATTTATTTGACAAAATGACTTGCAGTCACAGCAAAATATGAAAACCCTTACGCTGAGTTTCCACTTTGCCAATGTTATTCGTATTCTTCTCCTTTTTCCTGAACCCTATGCTTTCTATATCATTTCACTATGATGTTCATTTATCCTATTCAGAACCTAATCTGTGGTTCCACTAGTCAGGATTATTTCAGAAGACGTCAATTGCATACCACTTACAAATGCTTGTCAGTACCACACGCCACATGATGATATTTATACTACATTCATCTGATGTCTGGGTTTTTTGTTAATGCGAAGACAATATTTCTATATCTCTTTATGTGTTGCACAAACATTCTATTTAGCAGACTGTTCCGACTGACTCTAATGTCAGAAAGAACAACCAAACTGTAAATTCAGCATACATTGAAATATGTGTGATTTATATAATAACTTATCCATGCCTGTACAACTGGTATGTTCCTGCATAAACAGGAATAAATTTATTTTATTGTGAAACATGATACGCTGCAAGTATAATAAGCAATCTGAATACGTTGCCGTCATGTGACGCCCTGAGGAGCCTGAGCTGTCCACCATTATGGTAACATATCAGGTAGACAAGTGAAGTGTTCGGTTGTCACAGCACGAGTTTGGCAAAGGAGAAGTGAAAACCTCAAGTAACCGCTGCAACTCTGAATTCAAAGAGAAAACTACGTACTTCTTGTAGAGAGAAGCATTATACGGCCAGTTCGTCGAAACCCTAGATAAAAAGCCACACAGTTGAGCGACAACATTTGTACATTCATCGTATTTTTTGGCACAAATCAGCATCATTCAGGGAAACACTGAAAGCCAAAAGCACTGAAGAGATCCATTGTCCCACTTTGAGGCAATGCAGCTGGTACATGGAAGCATTCCATTAGCTTCTATCGATAGAACAAGAAACAGATTACGTCTACACTTAATGGATGGCTGGAAAACACAGCTCACAATAAAAACTGTCAGTACAAACAACGGTAGTGTATGAAGAGATGGGAAACTGAACAGGAACGAATAACAGTTACCTGATAAACTCGGTTGTGTTCAGCTTGAAGCTACTCCTGTACAACGGTTTTGTAGTAGTGCACCACCTGGAATCACCGAATCTTCTATGGTTCTCTACACAAATCACCTGAATATGTGGAGGGAGCGCAAGGATGACAGCCAAACACATACTTCGTAAACAGATCTCAGCATCCCCCTAGATTAGTCCAAAGAATGAATATTTCCAAGCAAAGTATCCAAGTGTGTAACTATGTGCTTCGACCACGCAAGTGTCAGAACAAGCGACTTAGAGGGAATACCGATGCAGTCACTTGAGGCATACACGGACTCAGGTGTCATCGTAAGTTACCCTCCAACCGTTACACTTATTGGTAATACGTGTGGAGTACGTAACAGTATGATTTTGAAATTGGAGACATTGTACATGACTTTTGTTTAAAACGATTCATGTTGAAATACAGATAACCTCCGAGTGCAATCTAAAATACAATGTACTGTTGGTCGCTTCGCCTCCTTACTGGTCATTACTGTCTACTTGCTCTACTCATAACCGTGTTGTATACTTTGGACTTATTGCAGGAACCTATTATCCTCCTCCGAAGACAACTCTACAACCGGTACACAGCTTTTACCAGTAGACATGACTCCAGCAGTGAACGCTTCTGTGGATTATATTATTAATTTGTAGCCGCGGACTTTAACTGTATATCCAAGTAACCATTTAATTAATATAACTCGTTACTGTATTTTTGATAACCTCATTAACCTGGATTTGTTATTCGCATACTTATTATGTTATTGAGCTCGCTAGACGGTCCACTACATACGCAGGTATTTAACGAGAATCACCAGTCATACATTCAACCCGTTTTGCACACGTCAAAACTAGGAAATTGCATCCAAGCTGTAAACCCTAGCCTCAAAGGTGATTGAAATATTCCAGAAAGATTCCAAAGGACGTCAGCACTTATGGTTCTTGGTGTGACCAATATTTTATGAGCAAATACAGACAAAAGTTTAAATCTCCCTTCCTTTTCATACCGTAGGTGGAGAGAAGCTCTAATCAAAATGTTCGAAATTCTAAGAAATGATAAACGACCTGTCTCTCTACAATAAAGCTAAGACTTACTCTTTTCATTCACATTCTTCGATCGATTAATGTCTGGTTGATTTGATGAAGAAAAGAACAACGACAACATCCATGTTTGAGAATAACTATATTTTCATCGAAAATGTCAAAGTTTCCGTGCTTGGACCAATATGGTTAGCATTAAACATTGAAAATATATACTATCATTCAAAGGAATCTCCAACTCCTTCTTGTATATATCTTGTAAATGTACTTCCAATGATGTATTATCCATAATTGTATTTTATGCCGTTTTGCAGTTTCCCAGGACGTCCTCCTCTTCTTGAAATAGCTTTTGATCACGTGGGGGCATAGCACCCACCCAAACATACGCTGTTCACTGGTTGACCATAACTATCAGCAGGAAATGGAACTGTAGTGGTTCAGATTCAAAAGGAGGCGTCAGTTCAAAACCCGGTGGTCCCCGAATAGTTATAGCCGAGCTCTTTTGTGTATATATCTTTGACTTCTTCTGCTACTGATTCGGCTCGTAATTATATAGTGTTTCGATCCAAGTCTGTGTTCTGCTTTTCACGGCTTATCCCAGCGTGCTTGATATATTTATCATTGTTTGTGCTGTTCTATTACAGAACATGGCGAGCCTACGAAACTCGTTTAAATCAAAGTCAGAGATGCAGAACTTGGAATCTCCTGATAATGCTTGCACCCGTGATCGGGAAGACAATACCAGAGTGCCACCGGATATGTCACCAACCCCGCCGACAACGTCAACCTCCACGCCTGCTTCAGACATGATTCATGCAATGGTCGCAGCCTTCCGAATAACGCTGATGACTACTGACATACTAGCACAGTCCTCCAGTGCCAAAGCTAAAGTTAAATTTCCTGCACCGCAAACGTTTGTTCCGGGGTAATCGTTCACATTCCTCCGGCGCCTTCAAGAGCTGGCTCCTGTGGCTTTTGAAGGAGATCTAGCAGCACAGATTAGTTCCTGAATTCTTCATCAGTTCGAAGAGGGGTTAATGCACGATGAAGTGAGAGAACGGGTCATCGGAAGTAATCCTACGTCGCCCGTAGAGGCCCTGCAGGTAGCCAAACAGAAGGAGGCCCTAATTAAGCTTCGTAAGAACCAACGACCAACAGACGGGTCCTATACTCTGTCACAATCTCAAGAATCGACGATACCTCGCGAGCACCTTGCAAAGCAACCTTCACCCAGTGAGTGGAGGTCTAGACAGTTTCCCCGACCTGCTCCCAAAGCATGACAAATCCCGAACCAATCACGTCCAAGGGCAGGCTGGACGAACCCTCGCTTCTCAGAAGGAATTGGTGTGTCTCTCCCTTTTGTACCTGATATTATGCAAGTATCAGAGGGTCCATATATAGCCAAGCAGCTGCCCACTGTTTTAGTTAAATTTCATGACAGAACTCCCGTCAGCTTGGTAGACACAGGTTCAGCTCGCACGATGCTGTCCAGCCGACATCGTATTGATATAGCTTTGACTGCCACCCCTCACCTAATCACTCAAGCGGCCGACGGATCTCGAATGAAAGTGGCTGGCGAGCTGCTAGTATTGTGGGAAGGTAAAAACGACCGTATGCGGCATCCCTGTTTAGTAATTAATGGACTGTCATGGTATTTGGTAATAGGCTATGACCTCCTAAGCAGCTGCAACGCCTCAATCGATATTGTATCCCAAGTGGTCACTCTGCTAGTTTCTACATTACTATTCGGATCAGACAGTAGTACTACCTATTTGCAGTTGAGTGTTAATGCAGTTGATACTGCCCTGACTGCAAGTATGCTGGCACAGGTTCCGGGAGAACACAAAGGTGCTGTACATCGGTTAATTTCAGAGATTTCCGAAGTGGTCTCGTGGTCCCCGGCTGACCTGGGGAGAACGTCAGCTATCTAACAGACTACTGAAACTGTTAATTGCGCTCCAATACGTCAACCACCTCGTCGAGTCTCAGCTAAGTTTCCCCCTCAGCTGGAAAGCATGATTGATGAAATACTACAGAAAAAGATAATTGCGCCGTCAAACTCACCGTGGGCTTCGCCTATAGTGCTCGTCAAGTACAAAAACGACTCCTTGCGCTTGTCTGTTGATTACCGAAAATTATACGCAGTGGCTCGGAAAGATGCTGACCCTTTGCCGAGAAGAGACGAGACGCTAGAGGCATTATTAGGCACCGTCTGGTTTTCCACCCTTAATTTAGCGTCTGGGTATTGACAGATGGAAGTCCACCCTCGTGACCGGCACAAAACTGCTTTCGTTATACCCACCGGTTTGTATGAATTCCAGACCATGCCTTTCGGGTTAAGTAATGTGCCAGTAACGTTTCAACGACTGATGCATGCGGTACTTAAAGGATTAGTCCCACAAGTGTGCTTCGTATATTTAGACGGTATCATTGTGTTCAGTCACACTATCGAAGAACACCCCGAGAGACTGCGGATTATCTTGGGACGTTTGAAGGAAGTTGGGATCGAAGTGCGACCCACTAAATACCGCTTATTCATAACAGAAGTCACTTTCCTGGGGCACGTCGTCAGCGCACAGGGCGTTCATAGAGATCCCGAAAAATTTGCAGCAGTCAAAGAGTGTCCCGTACCCCAATCCCCGAATGAGTTACACAGTTTTCTAGGGTTGGCCTCTTATTACCCCCGG